AAATGTTTCATTTAATAAATCTACAAAGCTCAAGCCTGTCTGGCTAGAGTGCATGCCCTGAATCATGTCATAGATATCTCTGAAGATCATGACCCTATGACTTACTCCGAACGATTGAATATTTTACGTAAAAATTGCATAACATGTTTTAGATAGTTTAATGTTTCCTTTCACACAAAAAGATTTTTTAAGTTTTTATTATAATTATGTACATAATGAAAATCAATGACCCGAGGGTACGCCAATTATAACCCCAGGGCTATAATTTGATCACTCGTGGTAAAGGTCCACTACACAATGTTTCATGCCAAATATCTAACATCTAGCCTTTGTCTAGCCTTTGTCAGTTCAGAGAAGATGTTTAGATATTTTACTATATACATATGTGAAAAATCTATGACCCCCCGGGCCAGGCCAATCTTGACACTTAGGACAAAATTTGAACAGCTTTGGTAGAGGACCTATAGATGATATCATATTTTTTTAAGTTTTACTATATGTACATTGTGAAAATCAATGACCTCCTAGGACGGGGCCAATTTTGACCAAATGGCTATAATTTGAACATTCTATGTAGAGATCTACAAGACAATGCCTTACGCAAAATATCTAAGCTCTAGGCCGTGTAGGTCTTTACAAAAAGATGTTTTAAATTTATTCTTATGAATTCTTTTGGTTGCAATGGCAACCATATTTCTGCATGAAATCAAATTTGAATAAATTTGGAAGGCCTTTACCCAAGGAACAATCTTGCCCAGTTGGTTGAAATTGGACTCGTGGTTTTTCACAAGAAGATGTTTTAAGTTCACTATATAATTTATATAATACACACGCACACACGCACAAACACACAATCGCACACACACATACACCAACAAACACACACTCTCACACACTAGGTGATATACCAGAGCAAATGCTGCGGTGGCATAAAAATAACAAAGGAAAATAACTGAAAAATAATGCAGGCTATGTTATCATTCTTGTGTGAAGCACTCATCCTTAATGTGATCTATCCACCTATGCAGTTTCAAGTTGATAAGCTCCGGACAAAAAGTATGAAAAATAACAAAGGGCAATTACTCAAAAATTATAAAGGGTAGAGTTATCATTCTTTTGCACAGCATTCCTCCTCAATAAGATCTATCCACAGGTTTCATGTTGACATCTCAAAGACGTTTATGTATTCGTGTACGAAATTCCGTTAAAATATAAAATAACAAAAAAACTGAGCTTCTGACAGTCTTTGAAAGTCCATGGTAGATGTACAAATAAGAACGGGATATGATATATATTTTCCACCAAATTGATAATGCTTCACATATTTTAATAGAAATAAAAGTTATTACTCGATCATTATGATCTGGCCTTTTTGACTTCTATTATGAATATCATCTATGCACGGCATAGAGATCCAGTTTTTACCTTGATAGACAATAAATTTCATACTTTGTCCCAGATTTATTAGTACTGTGTCCGATTTACTGGCGAACAATTTATTTTCACTGAGAATATATTTTAATATCTTTTTTTATTCATAGAGAAATAATCATCCTTAGACAATCTAAAATGGGACACCTTACCACAAGTCATATCTAGGCGTTCACATAAAAAATGATGTCTGTTTTTTGTTGTTGTTTTACTTGAAATTGTTAGAAAACGAGGTTGAATGTAAAGTAAGCCCTTGAATCCGTACAAAAGTCTATCAACTCAATGTAATATCTATCAGATTAACCCGACAGACAAATTATTTTCACACATTGTGGATATTTTAGCAACTACATTTTTAATCAACCCCGTGGTCGTGCGATTTGCCGCTTTGCTTAATTATTTATGTTTCATACATTATGTTACGTACATTGGCCGACAATTTCTTAATTTATAAAAAAGGCTAAATGTTGAGATATTCATAAAAGATGTACGGTAGTTGTACGATACATGTATTACGAGAAGTATGGACCTGTAATTCACGGATATATGGAACTACCGGTTTCCCTCATTGATGCCTCAACAGGGGGCGGAGCGTTATCGATAATCGACAGGTTACGCGAATAGCAGATACAAATAGTATAGGTACCGTTTTAAAACGATTAAAAACACATTTTTTGGACTAACTGCTTCCAAAATTAAATCACGAATGTGTTCAGAAAAGGTTGATAAATCTACTTAGCAAAAAAATCTCATTTTAGGTATTTTCAGTGATAATTGACTCCGTTGTCACCTTAAGTATGACAAAAAGCAAAGGGCAATTACTCATAAATTACGAAGGGTAGAGTGTGGCGGCCGTAAACAGTTTCCCCGTACATTTAATCAAAGATGTTATATTTTCGATCCTTGAAGATCGTTTAGCACGACTTAATTGTTGTGTATACATGTTATGTGGTATTTTTAGTTTCTTCTATTTGACCTTTTTCAACTTGGGTGATTCCAGTATTCCTACTTGAATACTGTATAATCACCCTTAGGGTATGTTGCCTGCTTTTCAAATTTGTCTTTTGACGTCTTATCTTTGATATGCATGCTTCATAACCTCAGATCCTCTTTCAAAATTCATTTTATTTAGTTCCGCCCATTGTTTTCTCGTTTAGGGCAAAAGCATTCTTTTACTTGGGGACCATACGCCGCTATTCATGGAATGGCAGTACTGTGTCACATTGAAGGTTCCATGATAACCGCCGTATGAACACATCTGCGGATGTTACTAAATTCAAAATTTTCACCATTTTCGTGTTAAATGTTGAATTCTGCTTAAGCCGGTGCTAGGGGGCATGGACGGTAACTTTCACTTTTCAGTACCGTCCATGAACAGGCTCAATCAAACCGAGCCTGCAACATTTTCAATTTTGCCGTGTTGGAATTTCTTTAGGGATTCTGTTTTTTTTTCTATTTTATGGTCACATCAGTGTTATTTCTGCCGTGTGGCGGCCGTAAAAGTCTCCCCGTACATTAAATCAAAGATGTTATATTTTCGATCCTTGAAGATCGTTTAGCACGACTTAATTGTTGTGTATTCATGGTATGTGGTATTTTTAGTTTCTTCTATTTGACCTTTTTCAACTTGGGTGGTTCCAGTATTCCTACTTGAATACTGTATAATCACCCTTAAGGTATGTTGCCTGCTTTTTAAATTTGTCTTGTGAGGTCTTATCTGTGATATGCAGGCTTCATAACCTCGGATCCCCTTTCAAAATTCCATTTTATTTAGTTCAGCCTATTGTTTTCTCGTTTAGGGCAAAAGCATTCTTTTACTTGGGGATCTTACGCCGCTTTTATTGGAAGGGCACTACTGTGTCACATTGAAGGTTCCATGATAACCGCCGTATGAACACATCTGCGGATGTTACTAAATTCAAAATTTTCACCATTTTCGTGTTAAATGTTAAATTCTGCTTAAGCCGGTGCTAGGGGCATGGACGGTAACTTGCACTTTCCAGTACCGTCCATGAACAGGCTCAATCAAACCGAGCCTGCAACATTTTCAATTTTGCCGTGTTGGACTTTCTTTAGGGATTCTGTTTTTCTCTATTTAATTACTATTGTGCCCTGCACACCTCGTGAGTGAGATCTCATGTTGATATCTCAAATGTTTTTTGAGTTATGATCTGGACAAAAATAAAGTTTGAAAAATAACAAAGGGCAATAACAAAAAATTATAAATTATGCAGGGTACAGTTATCATTCTTACGCAATGCATTCCTCCTAAAAAGGACCTATCCACCTATGAAGTTTCAAGTTGATACCTCAAAAACATTTTGAGGTGAAAGGATGGACGGATGGACAGAAGGACAGAAGGAGAAACGGTAGGACAGAGACTATTTCTATAAAGACGGCGGGGGATAAAAATGTATTGAATGGTCTTTTTTTCTAAACTCATTAGAGTTTCTCAGTTTTATCTGACATGAGCGTCTACACTAAACATAAATAAGAAAAAGTATTTCAAAAATTATTTACGAATTCACTCAGTTAAACACAGTTATACAACTTGACAGATTCATGGCGTTTGTAGTATATGTGTGTGTGCGTGCGTGTGTATGTGTATGTGTTCCTGGTAAATATGAGACATTTGTTAAAATAAGGCTGTATAAAAAAGTGTAAAAAATATATTTTGAGCACTGGTAGCCTTGACCAAAATGACCCCTTACTCAATCCGAGGACATCCTTGACCTTAAACCACACACCCCTGTCTCAATCAAAAAGAAGAATATCACGTAAGTTATCTTCCCAACAAATATGAACTTAATCCGTCAATAAATAATGGTTGTATGGGCAAGTGTAAAAAATCTATTTTTAGCACTGAATACCTTGACACAACTGACCACTAACTCCATCTTAAGGAAGTATCCATGCAAGTTATCTGCCTACCAAATATGAAATGCATCTGGAAATAATAAAGACTGCATGTGCAAAAGTGTAAAAAACTAATCTTAGCACTGGTGACTTTGACCCAACTGACCACTAACACCATTTGAAGAAAACAAAAACAGTTTTATATTCCTTTCAAATGTAAGATACAAACTGTCAATACAATAAGGTTAATACACTTGCAAAAGTATAAGAATAAATTTTTGACATTGGTTACATTGACCCAAATGACCCAAAAGTTAACCTTTAGGTAGAGGACTTCCCTTAGCAGTTTGTATTAAACATGAATGATATCTACTTAAAAATGCAGGCTATATGAACAAAAATGTGTAAATTTGTTTTTGCACCAATGACCTTGGCCTTGACCCTAGAGACCTCTTACTCCATAAAACATTAGAGGACTATTTAAGGTATCCACCTACCAAATATGAAAGATGTCATTAAATACATGAAGTTATTAGGTGAAATTAAAGATAAATCTTGCCGGAATAGGTTAACCATTCAAGGCCCTATATTCAAGGTGATAAAATGGGAAATAACTGGGGTAAATGGATAGCACAGTTATATAACTTGGCAATATCATGTACTTTGCATTGATAATTAAGTGTGGTAATTATAAAGCCATTAGTATAGATAGCTTAGTATAGATCTTCAAGCTTGGCAGTGAGTGACCATTGGATGCCTCTTGGTGGTGTCATGGAGGTTCTCATAATCCAGTCGATGACAACCGAGAAGATAAGAGGTGACAGTAGACAACCCTGGCGTACCTGTAATGTACACTGAAGGATGGTGAAAGTGTGGAGTTGTGAATGACCTGGCATTTTGTTGTTGTTTATAACCCTTGTTGATCTTCACAAGTTTGTCTGGGTATGCCGTAATTCGTAGCACCTTCCCACAAAGTGACTCTATCAACCATGTCGAAACGCCTTTTTAAAGTCAACGAATTGATATAGAGAGGTGATTCCATTCCAATGACCTGCTCTATGATGATACGTAGAGTGGCAATTTGGTCGGTGCATGTAACGTCCACAGCGGAAGCCTGCTTGCTCATCACGTAATTTTTCATCTATTGCCCCCTTTAATTCGTTCTAAGACCACTCTGGCTAGGACTTTGCTTGGTAGAGAGAGCAGTTGTATTCCTCTCCAGTTCTGACAGCCTAGTCGTTTCTAAGAATGGAGGAGCTGACAGTGATATCAAATCGAGACTTGGGAAAGCCAGGCATGCCTTTGTGACCCTCAGACCGTTATGGAAAAACAAGAACATCAGACAAAAGACCAAACTGAGAATCTTTGAGACCAATGTCAAATCAGTTCTTTTTGTATGGATCAGAAACCTGGAAGGCAAACAAGAAAAACGAACACGACTGCAGGTATTCATCAACAAATGCTCCGACAGATCCTACAAATCAGATGGCCCCAAACAAATCAGCAATTCAGATCTGTGGAATAGAACAGGCCAGTCACCTATTTAAGCACCAAATCAAGAAAACGTAAAAATGGCATTGGATAGGACACATTCTGAGGCGACCCCAACACAACATCACAAAAGGCAAGCTTTGGATTGGAATCCATCAAGGTAAAAGAAGAAGGGCAGACCAACAACCACCTGGAGACGAACAATAGAAGCTGAGTTGAAAAGCTGCAATATCACCTGGGCAGAAGCAAAAAGAGCAGCAATGAACCGACCCAGATGGAGAGCTGTTGCGGATGCCCTTTGCCCCACTAGGGGATAACAGGATTAGGTCAGGTAGGTCAGTATAGATAGAATTAAAGATATTTCCAACTTGCCGGTTTAGGTTAACCATTATTAATTTTCTGAAGTGCTGAAAAGGGCAATAACTTGGTAAAAATGGAATCTATAGTTATGTTTCTTGTCCAGATCATGAATATTGTGTTGATCAGTAAGTGTGTAAAGTATGAAATTCTGGAAACAAAGTGATCCCTCGGAAGCATTAATCACAACAAAATAACATAAGAATTGCAGACTCGGTTTGATTGAGTCTGTACATGAGGGATAATGAATAAGTGCAACATCCTTCAATCCCCTAGCACCGGCTTGAGCGGTACTCAATACTCAACACTTTATAGTGCTGGCATCAATGATCCCGAAGGACCAGAAAATATAACAATACTGAAGCCATTGGTAAAGGAAGAACTTATGAAAAATCCAAAATGCTGTTTAAGTTTAATATTGTACGGACAGACGGACAGACAGACGAAAGTCCGACCGAAATGGAATCAGGGCCATTCCTTTTGTTATTTTATTTTGTTTAATATAGGGCCAATGACCTCTAACTCATTGTTCTCTTTTGTTCTGTTTACAATCATATGGCCCCCTATCCCTATTTGGTAGTCAGGACAGACGGACAGACTGACGGATGGTTCGCTTACTATATACCCGGGGGCATACAAATGTCTGAATTTGAAAATTCTCAATTTGAAAATAAAAACTTTTTGTGTGTGAAATAAAGATGATATATAAAAAACACCTGTTGATTTTGTCCAGGATGCATTGTAAGTTGTCCCACAGTCCATCTGTCCTGCTGTTTACCTTTCCTAGACCAGACCGGTACACCAGAGCTATTCACATACACATTGAGTGCTCCTATATGATAACCGTACATATGATAATAAAATGATACACATACTGCACTAGTTAAAGACACTGCTCTTGATAACAGTTGAGCTTTCTCCCCTAGAGTCCTTGGTTGTGATGTTTCAATGTAAAAGTAGTGACCTAAAAAGATAAAAAAATAATATCCTTAATTAAATTAAATAAGACTCAACAGAATGAAATAATCTATCATATCTGCTTTCAATTGTAATATTTTTGAATATAAAAGAAAAGTAAAATCAATAGGAAAATAATCAACAGTCTTTGTTAACAGCTTTTTCATTTTCTTCAAATACACATCATCAAATGGAATAATTACCCTCTTTAGAGCGCTTTTATATTTCTAAAATTTTGATTTAAGTAATTAAAACTAATGCCTGTCTACTTTAAATGTTCATAGAAATTTACATTTGTTACTTATTATTTCCTTCTTTCATTACTTAATTAATTCATCCATCCTTTCTGTTTCTTTTCATATGTATTTTCATAGTTGCCATTATGTGGTCAACTGTCCCTGAAAAGTTTTATCTACTACATTATTGTGTAGGCTAGTGTAAGATACAAAATGTCTCAATTCTAAATGCTATTAACACACTGATAGTTTTTTATAAAGTCTTGAAAAATTCAAGGTTTTCTTTAAAACTTTTGTTCTTTTAACATTACCTGATTCGGTTCCGTATGTATGATCTGCAGGTGGTCCAGTACCATCAGATTTTGTGGGACCAGAATTTCTTGTCCAGTTAAAATCATTCGCCTGTGAATTAGTATAGCCACAGTCGCTGTCCTCAAAATAACATGACAATTGTGAAGCTTGCCCTATGGAAGCTACTGATCCTGTAGGAATCACTGAACCTGTGTAAATAAATATGTATAATAAATATTTTTATATAAACATATACGGAAATAATCCATGTATCATACTACTGTAAAGTATAAATGATATAACCTCACTCGATAAGTAAGCAGTTATTTTAGAGCATGTGACTCATCTGGCCAACCCTCACTTTTCATGCCTGAAAGCAATAAACTCTATTGTTCCCTATTGTTCTGTTTACAGTAAGATGGTCCCTATTCATATTTGACAGACGGCGAAGGCAAACACAATATGGAGATAAATCGCTATATTCTACCCCTAAGTAGGTGCTGCGGTGGAATAGAAATGGCATGAGGACAATCAATTACAGCAAATACAGGTTAAGAGTTTAAGAAAGGCTGCAGTCTCTTTGAACTACGTTCGAATCGCTAAACAGTGGTGAGAAAATTATGTAGCAACACTTTGGCTTGTACCCAGTTCAGAACACGATCATTAAATATGTTATTACTTGACAGAAGTGTGTACCAATTCATAATAATCAAATAATACTCATTGGACATACTGCATATTGGACTTTTCAGGATAATCATATAAAAGGCTGAAATAATCAACGCTTGATTTCAACGCACATAGTTATGTTCTATGTTTTTAGAACAACAAATAAATTAATATCCTTTTCCTTAATGCCTGCTACAGTCACCTAACAGTTCTATTATTATTATTATTATTATTATATACCACATTTCTATAGCACTCTTTTCATAAATAATAGATGTTCAAGAGTGCTTTACATAAATCCGATAAAACATAATCATATATATATAAGACATAATGTACAACATAAATTAAGTAAACCTATTAAACAATAATGATAATCTAAAACCAGTAAAGGATGGTAAGAAATACAGACACATTTAGTTTAAAATCAAGGCAAAATTAAAATTAACACTGATAATATAGCAAAAGTAGTACATGATTTATGAACTAACGTCCATAGAACTTTATGAAATAATGTGTTTTGAGAGCTCTCTTAAAACATGACAAGGTATTACAGTCTCTAATGTCAGGTGGTAACGCGTTCCATAATTTCGCTGCGGCTGTCTGGAAGCACCTGTCACCATATCGTACTGTCCGAGATTTAGGCACAACTAATGTCATTGAGTTATTCTGGGACCTCAGATTTCTGACTGGGATGTACACGTCTATCATGTCTTTTATATAGGCTGGTGATTGATCGATGAGGGATTTATATGTATGAGTCAAAATTTTATATTCGACCCGATACTCTACCGGAAGCCAGTGAAGTTCACGTAAGATAGGTGTTATGTGGTCATATTTGAGTGTTTTGGTCACAATTCTAGCTGCTGTATTTTGAACATGTTGTAACTTGGTCATTGACTGCTTAGAGACTCCATATAACAGTGCATTACAGTAGTCTAACCTAGAAGTAACAAGTGAATTTACTAGAGATTTGGTTGCTTTAACAGTAAGATAGGGTCTGATGTGGCCGATTTGTCTTAATTGTGCATAACAGTTCCTACAGACATTATTTACATGTTGTTCCATCCTCATGTTCGAGTCAAGAAATGCACCAAGATTGCGCACACTAGATGATTGGCTTATTTTCGAACCATCGACTGTTACTGTAACATCTGAAACAGGTTGTGCGTTATGTTCAGATGAGAAGATGATCAACTCTGTTTTATCGCCGTTTAGCTTCAGCATGTTGGCATTCATCCAACTTACAATATCTTTAAGACATCTTTCAATACGGTTTATATTCTCTTGAATTGAAATATTAGTCACTGGTTTGAAGGATAGATAGAGTTGTGAGTCATCTGCGAAGAAATGGTTGTTTAGATCATGTTTACGGCAAATTTCTCCGACAGGTTTTGTATACATCACATAGCTCTTGGGTCCCAGGACAGACCCTTGAGGTACACTGTACTCCATGTGGACTGGCTGTGATAGTTTGTTGTTTATGTATACAGTCTGGTATCGGTCGGTCAGGTATGACGTCATCCATGCGAGTTCTAGACCCTTGTCAGAGTGCACGGATGTCCAGGTAAGCCTAGCTTTATACTGGTCAAATGACAAAGGCTGAGCGTTTCCATAGTGTAAGCGTTAAAATGTAGACATTTATGTATAATAACAACTACTTACCATGCGCCTTCTCTTGAGCTTTACACAATAGGCACCAAACAACAATAAGTAACTTCATTTTAAGTCTGATACATGCAATTCTGAAATAACAAAAACACCAATTCTTTTTATACAATAGGCATTTATGTCTCACAATTTTAAGAACTAAAACAAATCCGAGGAAACTACAATTTAATGAATAACTACAGAAAATATAAAGAAGACCATATCCTTACTCTGTATTTCATTCACTAGGAGTGATTATGTGTAGGTTATGTATTTTAAACCGGTGGAGAGGGAAGGGGTATGAGGAATTTACAATTTAGGGAAAATTACAACAGGAAAACTCAATTTACCATTTTGACGAGTGTTTTTGTAGTATATGCAAATGTTTTCTGACAGTTCCTCCCCAGTGACCAGGATAAAGTAAACTTCATTATTGCAAACACTGTGATAGAATAAGATGTTTTGGCCCACATCTTGCCATTCTTTACCTTATATCAAAAAAATAATGTTATGGCGAACTCAGTGTTATATGATAAGGAATAATTGCTTACAAGGAATTCATATTTGATTAAAAATGCATGCACTGAAATTAACCTGTTTACAACGAACTAAAAAAGGAATAGCATATTAACTGATCCTGATTTCTCTATATTTGTCTCCATTTGCATGCAGCTGTTTTAGAAGTTGGTTGAATAAATTGGCATTTTTTTCAATAAGAACTTGTATACATATGGTTTTCATGTACAAATAGCATTGTATGACGTATGCTATATTTTTTTTATTTTTTAATTACACCTTTAACAATAGTAGCAATCAGTTCATGATATTTCAGAGGTGATCTAGGTCAGTAAAGTGAAAATTACATCATACATCAAATATCATCATCTGGTATCAATATTATTGAAGAATCCAGTATTATAACCGAAGGGAAGTAAACCCTATTAGTGACCAGAAATATGAACGTTCAATAATATCTATGTATGATTCTTTACTGAATTCAATTTTCATACTTCTGTAAAACAATAGTTTGCTCAAATTTAAGAGACGTTACTGTGGTCTGTTTGATAGTTGCTTAATTTTATATTTCGTGTATTTGTTTACAGATGAAAAAAAGATCTAATTAATTGTTTGTTTATTCAATCGTTACCATTATTTATTTAATCAATTGTACTTCTGTTAAGTAAGATTCTTCGTCATAATAAAATAGACCTAGTAACTAGTACTAAGCTAGACCTAGCATGTATATCTCTGTAATACATATATAAATCATACTGTTGGCTTGCAGTTTAATGGAAAGTCTTTTTCCATTTGCCACATCTGCAGATATTTCTAATTCTCAATTTAACACCATGTACATGTTTAAAGGATGAGTTTTGCTTAAATTTGTGCCAGAAGAGTTGACAGTTGTTTGTATCTAGGAATGCTATCTTTGAAAAGCTGAATCAAACAAGAATGCAAACAGGTTGCAACATTTTTGGAAAGGCTATGCCTCCCTAATGTTAAGACCGTTCTTTATTCTTATTGCCGCGGTAATCAGGTCAATAAATAGTACCGTGATATTTTAAAGCTGACTCATCATTTATCACCGTTATCTACAAATTAAAACAAGTTTTTAATTTTAACCACAATATTTGCTATTTGTAAAGTTTATAATTCTAAGAGAAACGCTTGGTTTAAACTTTTTGCTTTTCTTTTATTTTAAAATCACTACTTAAGTTTACTGCGACGGTAAATCGGTCATGCATCGGTCATAAATAGTTCTGATATATTAATCATTATACTTTTAACTACCATAACGGGAAATTAAAAACAAAACACATTATTGTAAAGTGCTGAATAAATGTTTAAATTTTTTGGCAACATGCTGTTATATTTATATTTTTAAAACAATTTTCAAATTACTACGCAGCGACCAACTTTGCATGACGGGTCATTAACTAGAACTATGCCATTTTGATTGAGTGAAAAAAATCACTATTTATTAACAAAAAAACATAAGATACACATAATCCTTAACCTTGTTCTCCTACAAAATTAAAGCACAAAAATACTTTTACATTAGAGAAATAATGAACAATAATAATATTTTCATCTCACATATTTTATTAATCAATGCCAACATAAAATTATCTTTAAAAAAAGTAAGTCTGGCAATTGATAGATCCCTACTTTGACCTTTTATTTGCATAACAATAAATTTGAACACAAACATTGACATGTGCTCTTTTGTTTAGGAATATGTTGTGGTGAAATTCTTAAGGTATCCACTAATTTGATAATTACAATTAGACAGGTTAGGTATCTATACAACCAGTTGCTTACTGAATAAGTACAAGTTAACTACGCTCATTTTAATCCCAATAGAAATATTTAAATATTTTTAAAACACATTGCCAAAGTACCTGGTAGTCGTTTTCCCAGTGGGGAATTTCTACTAATTGTAGTTCCGAATTGATTACAAAAATCAAACAAAACATGTGTTTCGGTACAATAGCAAACAGTTTAATAACCGAACGTCAGATGTGGTCAAATTTGTTTTCTTGGGAAATAATAAATTTTCAAAAAAAAAACTGTTGTAATTCAGCGGGCATGACTTCAATCGCGATTTAAAGCCGTGCTTTAATTCATCAACATATTTTTACGGAACTTTAATTTGAAAACGATATTTGGCCCTGAAGTGATAAAATTACACACTTATGTGAATAAATAAAAAAACTTATATATATTTGTGTTAAAAAAATTAATCAACGACATAAGAGGAATTTTGTATTCATTTTACAACACTTGAAAAATTACCACAGAAAATGTGTTTTTCCCCACATAGCTTCGTTTACATCTTCAACTACCAAAACACACTATTGATAAAACACTTCATATATGTTCTCATCTATTAGCGGGAAATAGTGAGCCGAACATGATTGATAGTATAAACCCTATATAATATAACCCGAAAGAGTGGCGGGAATTACAGATCGCAAACCCTGTTTACAACAAATTTCCCTCAGTACATATGTCACGCTAGTGAGGTTTAAAAATAGAATCTATCAATAAACTACCTTTAGTTGACAATAAGTATGGTGCATAAAAAATCATAAAACTTTCAGATCAATTTTTACTAAGATTGATTCAATTTTGAATAAGCTTTGCAGATATGTATTTTTTAAAGAAATATTTGGCTTGAATAAATATTTGAAGCCGTCAAAGTTAGCCACGAGTAATGACAATAACAATTTAAATGGATTTTTTTTTTCAAATATGAATAATATTTCCGTTTTTTCATTCAAGGTTTGCTTCGAGAGAGGTATGAGCCCGTATAGCATGAATATTGATACTCGTCACAAGATAGTATCTTTATTGATCTCAATTATGATATATGTAAATAAGTTCATGTTGAAAAAAAATTTTTTATAACTTGCAGTTGCTATAATCATTCATGATTAATGATATAAAGTATTTATGCCGGCATGATGAACAATCCTATAATATTGTTATAAGGGAACATTCATGCAGTAGTAAAATTGTATTGTGATATTATAATGATCATTTGATATTGACAGTTAAGGTTTTCAAAATTTGCATAATCAGTAATGTTGTAATGAAAAGTTCTGTGATTTGTCCAGCATATTAACCATATGAGTGGATAAACACAACAGTAAGGATAAATGGTGCAATGGACAGATCTTTGTATTTTGGTAACATTTGAAATTACAGCACATATTGAGCAACACGAAAAGAAACTGTAACTCTGAAACATTCTGTCATAGCCTCCCAATCAGTACATTCAGTGCTATATGTCAGTATTTAGGTTTAAATTATTCTATTGATATACAGAAATCCTTTTATACTTTTTTTGCAGAATTTAAGTTTCTAGGTTTATATTATCAATTATCTATTATCTTCTCATTAATTTATTTATAATCTACTCATTTGTAATATCGTTATACTTTGTCTATATACATGTATATGTATCTAAACTTAATGTTAACAATATCTTGTCAAAGAACGATTTGTTTACATATCTTGTTAGGCATTGTCTTGTAACAAAAATAAATTTTAGTACTTATAATTATACTTATAATTATACACTTATAATTATACACTTGATTTAGACAAGACATGAAAACAAGATAATTTAATGATTTTATTTGATATTCCAAAATAATAAGTGGGAAAATTAATTGTATAAGCTTTAAACCAAAGCCAGAATTGAGTAATTATTGCATAATTTCTTTAATTTATTTTAATATTTAGAAATTAAAAAAGCATCGAAATACATCGAGGCTATCTGATTTGTATGAGAGTATAAATCAGATTGCCGAGTGTGTTGATGTTCTTTCTCTTTTGCATCATTGGCAAAAATAATAAAAAAAATCCCTGTCATCACAATAATAAACCCCAGAATAAATTAACCAATGTTCAATGTATAAGCATCTGAATATGACTTTTCTATCGTTATTTCTTTCCCTGTCGTCACAATATGTAAATCATAGAAAAAATAAGCCAATCAATGAGCATGCCCTAGACAGACAGTAAGTGCGGGTAACTAACACCTGCACTCCAGTAAACGCACTGTGCATGTTTGGTATACGATTTAACTCTGACATGTTTTCAAAAGTAAAGTCTCCAAACTATGGTACAATCATTACTGAAGTGAATATCCTAATGTCAAAGCTTTAATAAGACTAACAAGTTTTTATAACAAATATATTTTGAGTTAATTTCATTTTCGTAAAACCAAAGTAGGTCCTTTACTTTTTCTGGCTATTTTGCAAACAATGCAGCATTATACCAATGACACTTTTAATGTTAACTGAGAAAGAATGTCTATTATAGTACTGTTAGTCAAATAAAGCAATGATAGTGTTTCTTATATAAGCAATGGAAATGATTTATGTATAAAATATATATAAGTAATTCAAATTCTTGTATTATGTCGGAATTAAGGCTTAACAAATATGGATATAACAAGAAATCAGAAACTGCTTTATAAACATGTCAATTAATTTGAAACAAAAATCAACTAAATATCGCACAATTTGATATAAGATATTGAGATACAACTGTTTTGCACTTAGATTTATTAAACATGTTACCG